TTGTTGTACTACTAAATAGCAAGAGTGGTAAGGGTCAGAACGATCCCTCTAATAATTGTATCCAATTACTGTTGCTAAAAAAAACAAAAAAACATGTGCAGAGTACAATTAAATAAGCAATAGAAGTGAAACACTAGCCAGTTGAAGTAATCGTAACTATTTGAATAGAATATGTTATCAAGATCCAACTATGTTAACTATCAACTAAGTGCTTGCTGGTATGCAGTCTTCTATCGCAATAAAGTTATAAGGTATCCATAGCCCACCCCAAGGCAGGGAGCCATCAAAGAAATAATAATAATGATGATAATCCCAATAGACAACATATATAGGAGTGACAGGAGAAAAAAGGAAATTAAAGTGTTAGAATAAAAGCGTGCTAATGTGCAGAACCATACTTAGGGTGTTGGTTACCTGCACATGGTGATACAGTGCCCTATAAGTGAAGAAAAGTGAAAAAGTGAAGGAAAGGATCCTTCAACCCGACGCGCGTTTTGGTGCTATAGTAGTGCACCTTCGTCAGGGGTTGAATCCGTTATGAACACAAATTTCTCTTAAATACCTTTAATGCTGTGACTGTTTGAATGTATTCCCCAATCAGAGCTCCATCACTGACGTTATTCGGCACCAAAAATTGTGACGTCAGATTATGCTAATTATGTATATGAAATCTCCAATCAAGGATGAACCTGCATCCGAGAGGTGTGGGTTTTGTAAAAGAGACTAGAATTAACCCTGTGTATGCTGTAAATATATCGTGCATGTAGGACAACACGTCCTCGTACACAAAGAAACATAGAATTCGGACATTTGTACATCGTGCCAAAGGAACGGAACCTTAATAAGTCACTGTATAGTTTGTACATCATAGATAGTAGATAATAGAAAATAGAAAATATATAGTCCCATAACACGTCACTAGGATCTCCAGCAGTGATCCGTGTGGGCATAAACAGTGCCACTATTGTATCAACTTAAAGGGGTATAGTCCTCTTATGGATAGACAGTCGGCAAAGAGATGTATCTATACAGGTGGAGTTGAAGTTACCCCTCACTGTACCGCTGGTCTCTAAAAGCCGTGGGACAAGGAATCTTCTATTCACAATTACTCAAATGTTTTCCCATCGGGTCCAGGCAACTATATTTTAATGAAATACTATGTAGACTAATAAATAATAGCCTTATATATCGGAACCAAATCTCGTCATTCAGACAGGGACCCATACGGGTATTGTAATTTCAAAATATTATGTCAGCTTGAGGGAACATATTGCTCTTAAGAAAGGACAACGAAATTGGTACTCCTTGGTGAGACCATACTAATAAATAGATTATTCCAATTCATAGATTTATAAAGATATAGGATCCGAGTTGATAAACTTAATAAGTCACTGTATAGTTTGTACATCATAGATAGTAAATAGTAGAAAATATATAGTCCCATAACACGTCACTATGATCTCCAACAGTGATCCGTATGGGCATAAACAGTGCCACTATTGTATCAACTTAAAGGGGGTATAGTCCTCTTATGGATAGACAGTCGGCAAAGAGATGTATCTATACTGGTGGAGTTGAAGTAACCCCTCTCTGTACCACTGGTCTCTAAGAGCCGTGGGGTGAGGAATCTTCTATTCACAGTTACTCAAATATTTTCCCATCGGGTCCAGGCAACTATATTTTAATGAGATACTATGTAGACTAATTAGTAATAGCCTTATATATCGGAACCAAATCTCGTCATTCAGACAGGGACCCATACTGGTATTATAATTTCAAAATATTATGTCAGCTTGAGGGAACATATTGTTCTTAAGAAAGGACAACGAAATTGGTACTCCTTGGTGAGACCATACTAATAAATAGATTATTCCGATTCATAGATTTATAAGGACATAGGATCCGAGTTCATACACTTGGACCATCGATGAAGACAGTGACTTAGTCAAACTTAAATGACCAATAAATTATATTGTACAGAGGTAATATCCCTATGTTATACTCATAGGGAGTAAATCAGGGTTTAAGTTTAGGTCCAATACGGTAATTGTTGCCTATAAAGGAAAATAGTCTCTTTAATAATAATGCATACTTTAGGATACTGTGTCAATTAGGAAGTACATATGACAATCTCTTCGTTTGACATAGAAGGTTATTGGTATATGGGCATCACTAAAACAAGAGTGGTGTCCTTATCCTGTAAAACGAAGAGTGTAGTAAAGTGTAGAGTATTCAATTTCTTCCTTATAGTCAGACTGGACTCGAAATGGGGTGTATGATCATTGATTGCCACTAGGGGTCAGTCATATTCATTTAAAGGTAAATTTACGCTATGAATAGGTCTAAATGATGTCTAACATGTAATGGATTTATTTGCAACAATTAGATACTAGGTTAAATGCTGCTAGAAATGGCTGGTAACTTAGTCAGGGATGAAGGGGGTGTATGAGAATCTTAATTGAGGCCCAATAGTGATAAGGTTTTAAGTTTACAAATCCAAAAGCTTTCTCGCTGTAGGAGTCTTTTGTCCAAATCACCCTTCCTTGGGCCCAACTTAATTTTTTCCACTCCATTGAAGCGTAAACCCTGCGCAGATCCACCATGTTTGATTTTCAGATGTCTTGAGATGGGTGTATCTGTCTGTCTAGATGGATTTACAGAGTTTACGTGTTCTAGGATGCGGGTCTTAAAATGTCTAAAGGTCTTACCTACATATTTTAGGTTACAACTGCAGGTAATGAGATATATTAACCCCTCTGTTTGGCAATTGAAAAAGGTTTTTGTTGTGTGTGTTTCTGTGTTGTCCGAGTTGGAAAATGATTTTGATTGTTTCCGAATAAATTTACAAGCCTTACAACGGCCACACTGGAAAGTGTGATTTAAGAAAATAAGAGATAGTGGGTAGGCGCTTCACAAAATTGGAAATATAATAAATAAATAAAATAAAGTGGTTGATACAACAGTGTTTCCCAGACACTAGATAAGAGTAAATGTAAAAAGAAATGTATATCAAAACCACATAAAAAAGAATCAGCCCAAAAACAAGTGAAGTGGTGGAAAAACAACCATAAAATACAACCTGAACGTTGAAGAATGGCAGAGTGTTATCTACAAAATATAAATACAGAACATAACATAGTGTATACTGTATATTACAAATGTATGTAGGAATAGAAGATGGACAACCACTCACATTTACCAGAGCCGTACCAGGCTCTGTATAGCAGGCTCACAGGTGCCAATTCAGGCTAACAGGATTCCGGATAATGAATGGAGAAAATTCCGTAGTAAAAAAGGGTATTTATTTATAAAAAATATATTAATAAACAAACTCCTGGTTATAAGGGGGTGGAACCCAATAACAGATAATATGTAAAAAAAGGTATCCACTTACCCAAACCAAAGTAACCAATGGAGTAGTATAAGAAAATAAAAATTACAATACAAGTGGTAAATAGCAGCAGTCAATAGCAGCACTATCCATAATAAATGTAATCTATTCTTGTCTCATATCGCTTTGCTGGTTTAAAAAATACTCCACCGCTTCACAGCCTAAAACATGCGATATACAAGTATATAAACTTGTAACATCACATGTTACTAGGAGATAGTTGTTCTCCCATCGTATGTCCATCAAGAGTGTCAGTAAAGAGGTAGAGTCTTTTAAGTATGAAGGCTGTGATATTACTAATGGTTGGAGTTGTTTATCCACATACTCAGAAAGATTACTTAAAAGTGACCCAACTCCGGACACTATAGGTCTACCTGGTGGATTTTTTTGGTCTTTATGTATTTTTGGAAGTATGTAAAGTACTGGAATCCTGCAAAAAGAAACATCAAGATATAAAAATTCATGTTTATTCAGGATATCCAGAACTCTACCCCTATCCAAAAGTTCTGAATATGCTTGTCTGATTTGGCTAGTAGGGTCACTCTTTAGTTCTTTATAGGTGGTGGTATCGCTAAGTTGTCTATATATTTCTGAGTAGTATTGATCTTTATTAAGGATCACTATACCACCACCTTTATCGGCGGGTTTGATAACTATACTCGTATCTGTTTTTAACTCTTTTATTGCTCTCCTTTGTTGATAATTAATATTATTATATTTAGGCTTATTGATTTTCTTTACTTCACTTATAACCAACCTTTCAAAAACCTTCATTCCACTATTAATACAATGTCGAGGAAAAAAAGTGGATTTCTTTTTTAAAGATGTATGTTTAAATTCATGGGATGTAATTGTTTCTTCTGTAGAAGGTAATTTTTCAAAAAACAATTTAATACTCATATTACGTATAAATTTATTTATATCTATGAATGTCCTGAATGGTTGGTTATATTCTGAAGGAACAAATTTTAAACCTTTTTTTAAAATTTCTACTTGGGAGTTAGTAAGAACTTTATCGGATAAATTAAAAATTCCTATTGTTCTGTTATCCTGCCTCTTTTTTCCTCTCTCCAAAAATCTTCCTGCCCTAACTCCTCTTTTGTTCCCTGCCAAATTCTTTTTTGGGGGAAGTTTCTCAACTCTCTCCTTAAGGGTCTCTGCCCTAAAAAAAGTGGGGATTGTTGGGGTTGGGAATATTTAGGGGAGTTTTCCGATACAGTTTTAAATTTGGAACTTTGAAACCTGTCATAGTTATTTTCCATCTTTTTATATGATGTTCTTTGATAAGATACTCTTTCTGGTGTCTCTCTCTTCCCTCTATTTTGTCCAAATGTCTCATTTGTCTCATTTCTCTGTGTTTTGAATTTCCTAGGGAGTTGTCTACTCTCATTGTTAGTTCTATTGGTTGAAAATTGATAAGAATAAGTATCTCTATGTGGATAAAATTTATTACGTGACTGCGATCTATCTCGTTGTTGAAACTTTTTTGCAAAAGAACGTACTTTATTAAAAGCATAATCATTTTTATCTCTTAAGAATTTTTTCTTTTTAATAGCCACTGTTTCTTGTTCAATTTTTTCCACGTAGTTTTTAACTACTTCTAGGGATTTTTCAACTTCTTCACAGCCTGCTAAAGGTCTTAATTTTTCTTGAATTTGATTAATTTCAACATCTACAGAATTAATCAAATTCAAGAAAAATTAAGACCTTTAGCAGGCTGTGAAGAAGTTGAAAAATCCCTAGAAGTAGTTAAAAACTACGTGGAAAAAATTGAACAAGAAACAGTGGCTATTAAAAAGAAAAAATTCTTAAGAGATAAAAATTATTATGCTTTTAATAAAGTACGTTCTTTTGCAAAAAAGTTTCAACAACGAGATAGATCGCAGTCACGTAATAAATTTTATCCACATAGAGATACTTATTCTTATCAATTTTCAACCAATAGAACTAACAATGAGAGTAGACAACTCCCTAGGAAATTCAAAACACAGAGAAATGAGACAAATGAGACATTTGGACAAAATAGAGGGAAGAGAGAGACACCAGAAAGAGTATCTTATCAAAGAACATCATATAAAAAGATGGAAAATAACTATGACAGGTTTCAAAGTTCCAAATTTAAAACTGTATCGGAAAACTCCCCTAAATATTCCCAACCCCAACAATCCCCACTTTTTTTAGGGCAGAGACCCTTAAGGAGAGAGTTGAGAAACTTCCCCCAAAAAAGAATTTGGCAGGGAACAAAAGAGGAGTTAGGGCAGGAAGATTTTTGGAGAGAGGAAAAAAGAGGCAGGATAACAGAACAATAGGAATTTTTAATTTATCCGATAAAGTTCTTACTAACTCCCAAGTAGAAATTTTAAAAAAAGGTTTAAAATTTGTTCCTTCAGAATATAACCAACCATTCAGGACATTCATAGATATAAATAAATTTATACGTAATATGAGTATTAAATTGTTTTTTGAAAAATTACCTTCTACAGAAGAAACAATTACATCCCATGAATTTAAACATACATCTTTAAAAAAGAAATCCACTTTTTTTCCTCGACATTGTATTAATAGTGGAATGAAGGTTTTTGAAAGGTTGGTTATAAGTGAAGTAAAGAAAATCAATAAGCCTAAATATAATAATATTAATTATCAACAAAGGAGAGCAATAAAAGAGTTAAAAACAGATACGAGTATAGTTATCAAACCCGCCGATAAAGGTGGTGGTATAGTGATCCTTAATAAAGATCAATACTACTCAGAAATATATAGACAACTTAGCGATACCACCACCTATAAAGAACTAAAGAGTGACCCTACTAGCCAAATCAGACAAGCATATTCAGAACTTTTGGATAGGGGTAGAGTTCTGGATATCCTGAATAAACATGAATTTTTATATCTTGATGTTTCTTTTTGCAGGATTCCAGTACTTTACATACTTCCAAAAATACATAAAGACCAAAAAAATCCACCAGGTAGACCTATAGTGTCTGGAGTTGGGTCACTTTTAAGTAATCTTTCTGAGTATGTGGATAAACAACTCCAACCATTAGTAATATCACAGCCTTCATACTTAAAAGACTCTACCTCTTTACTGACACTCTTGATGGACATACGATGGGAGAACAACTATCTCCTAGTAACATGTGATGTTACAAGTTTATATACTTGTATATCGCATGTTTTAGGCTGTGAAGCGGTGGAGTATTTTTTAAACCAGCAAAGCGATATGAGACAAGAACAGATTACATTTATTATGGATAGTGCTGCTATTGACTGCTGCTATTTACCACTTGTATTGTAATTTTTATTTTCTTATACTACTCCATTGGTTACTTTGGTTTGGGTAAGTGGATACCTTTTTCTACATATTATCTGTTATTGGGTTCCACCCCCTTATAACCAGGAGTTTGTTTATTAATATATTTTTTATAAATAAATACCCTTTTTTACTACGGAATTTTCTCCATTCATTATCCGGAATCCTGTTAGCCTGAATTGGCACCTGTGAGCCTGCTATACAGAGCCTGGTATGGCTCTGGTAAATGTGAGTGGTTGTCCATCTTCTATTCCTACATACATTTGTAATATACAGTATACACTATGTTATGTTCTGTATTTATATTTTGTAGATAACACTCTGCCATTCTTCAACGTTCAGGTTGTATTTTATGGTTGTTTTTCCACCACTTCACTTGTTTTTGGGCTGATTCTTTTTTATGTGGTTTTGATATACATTTCTTTTTACATTTGCAGGTGATTTAAGCCAGGTATTTGTAACCTTTGGGGAGGATAGGTGGCTAGGGACCAAAATGTCCTTTATATTCTGGCCTCTTCTTGCTGTAAGCGATACGTGAGGTGTCAGAACTTCTTTCAGATGTATATCTTGGTATATTAGTGGCCAGAATTTCTCTAATGTCTTTTTTACACCATTCCATCCTGAATCAAAAGTTCCAATGCATCTGATGATGTCCTGGTTCTTTCTTTGTGGGGGATTATCGGACAGAAGATCAGTCCTTTCGGTTAGTAGCGCTCTTATATAGGCTTTTTTGAGGCATTTATTTGGGTATCCCTTAGATTTAAAATGGGACCTTAGAGTCTGAGCTTTGGCCTTAAAATCCTCCTGAGAGGAACAATTTCTTCTCAGTCTGAGGTATTGGCCTGTTGGTATCCCACTTTTTAATGTGGGAGGATGGTGACTCCCCAGGTTCCAGTAGGTGAACCTCTTCCTTCTGTAGAGCGAAGCAGGAACAGGAACAAAAGCTCTTACAAGAGCTCAGTAGTTAAGGGAGTATGAAGAGCATAGCAATCCCTGTAGTGATTATAGCTGTCCCCTACAAACATGAGTCAAGGCTGCAAGTAAGAGGGTCAAGTCATTCTGTTTATTGGCACACAAAGAACCTTCTTTTATGCAGGTTTCCCTGAGATAGGACCACCCACAGGATTTTACACAACAACCAAAAATAAACGTACGTTACAGAAACACTCAAAGTAATTACACACAAAAATCCTCCCCTCTGCCTGTGATCTAATTATGGTACACAATGGGTTAACATAATTAAACACAGGCAGTAAAAATACAGTTTTTATCCACACACTGTAACTTTAAAACTACACATCCAATCTTCATAAAAATTACATATTTAGAATCACCTTCAAATATATACATAACCAAAAATCAGCCAAATCCATCCATCCAGGGGTTAAAAAGTTAGCTGGAGGTCCCTTTATGACCAACCGCAAGCACATTTTCCTGCCCAAAACAGTTCCATAGATTTGGGCTGTGCGGTCGGTCTATTTCAGGCTGAAAAAACGACTAAGTCCCATCGCCGAATGGGACTTAGTCTCTGCAGCTGTAAAATCAGTATGTTTCAGTTATTTGCACTTTCATATATAACCCTGACAATATTGCACTATTGTTTCTCTATTTTGTATTTTATTACCAGGACGACATTCACCTATAAATTGTCAAATCATTTATAAGAAAGAAACTCCACCTTATATGTATGTATATTTATGGTTATTGTGAGATTTAAGGGAAACTCACTAAGGTGTTAGAGTTTCAATCTTTATTCATACAACTCACTGGAATTCTGTTACTATCTATTAATATGGAGAATGTGTTTACATTAGGAATTCTTTTTTCCTGATCTTTCAATTGTCCTCTAGTGCTGTCAAATAGCACTGCCAGTAGCCACCTATGTTAGATTCAATAAAGATATCAAACGCTTCAGAAGGAAGAAACAAGAATCAGAGATGTATATTTCAGGACCTATGACAGACTGAAGTATTTTGTTACACATTGCTCTGCATGAATAGGGAATTTAGTTCTGGGCAAAAAAAAAAAGGCAGCACTGGGTATTATATGCGTTTTTATTCAGTAAATATTTCTCAGCTGGCATGCATAGCGTGTAGAGGCTTGTTTTTCCTTCTGCTGGCTCTTCAGGTATCTTGTTACAAACCTCCTGCTTCATTTCCTCTGACCACTGGCTACAATAAGATTGGTCAGCCACCTCCCCTGACCTTTTTTGCTTGCAAAAAGTAGTTTGTTTATTTGTTGAATTGTTTTTATATACACAGTAAATGTACAGTAGCAACAGAACGTGCATTTTTCTGAGATTTGGAGAATCACCCCTTTCTCGTAGTCTCTCTGGTTTTGAAGATGCCATTTAAACTAGTCTACAAAAATATCCTGTGTCAAATATATGGCCATGATTGACAAAACTATAAGCCACTGTAATCCTTGTTACTTGCTCATACAGCAAGTTATCTTACATAATATGCCTTCTATTCAGATGTATTATATTATTTTATATTAAAAAAAAAAAAAACAGATGCAGTGTGGAAAACAATGCTTTCAAAGCAAGAAATATTAGATGTTCTGTTTGTTTTTGTTTTCAACAACTTTTCAAAAATGTCTTAGCATTTTGTCTTCTAATATCTTTTTTCCCATTATCTGGCTAACAGTTGCAAAAGTCATAACCTAATCACATCCTAGTCAATGTAATAGTGCCTTTCTATGCTTTTTCCAATGAGATATTTATCCCATGGAAATATGCTCGAAAAATGTTAACTAAAAAGCAGAAGTTAAAATGCAGAGTTTTGGCTTAAAAAATGTTTTTTACAACATCTGATACAAAATTATGTATCTGCAAAAATCTCATGTGCTGACACTCTGTTAATAGCTTTTTGGACTAGTATTTCTTATGATACTTTTTCAGGTTTTCTAAAATAAAAAGTTTGTTTACTGTATTTTCTACATAAATATATATTTTCAAAGAGAACAGATTCGAAAAATATTTCTAATATTGATATTACATAAAAAATGCTGTGGATTCTGAGTGAAGAGACTGGACTACCAATACTCATTAGAAGAACGTTTATAATGCTTCTGACAGCTTGCCTCTGAACACCACAATATGGATCTCCTTACTAGGGCTCCATTCCTTAATTTAAAAAATAACTAAATAAAATAAAAAAATTAAAAAGTAATTAGGTTCAGACATCCTCGTATGTCTCCTACTAAAAGCATTGATTGTATCACATCATTTTTTTTTATTTATGTATATTTTATTTATATTTTACTTTACTAACAATGGCACTCGGTACTTTACATGGTACGGTATAGCAATTTCATAGGCGTGCGCAGCCTATTCCATTAGGGTGTGCACCCTAAAGCACAAACACATGCCGTGTGTATATGTATGTATGTATGTATGTATATATATATATATATGTGTA